AATGTCGAGCGTATAAAGCCAGGTGAAGACTCGTCGGTGTGGAAAGTCGATTGCGGAACCGAGTAGTACGTGCCCCAAAAAGTCTTCAAGGGCGAACCCGCGTAAGTAGACCAGAAACCGCGGCAGAAATTATGCGTTGCTCGAACTGAACCTGTTTTTGTCTTCACACGCCAGAATCATGCAGTATCTTCAGCAGATGCAGCTGGCAGCACCTGACGTGTTTGAAATCAATGCAGTTGTCGTGGGCGGGTCGAGTGGATGGATTTGTCGCTAGTAGAGTTGGTGCGGCTGTATCCCGAAATCCTCTGGCCGTGAAGTCGGGGTTGGTACGAAAATGTCGTCGGTGAAGGCGATTCGTCGTAAAGTCAAATACGAGCGTCGGCGGAATTCGTTGAAGCAGTAACCGAAATCGAATGTCACTCCGAAATTGATGTCGAGCACGATCTAGGGTCAGATGATGTCAGCACCTCCAGCGGTTTTGTCCAGACTCGCCGAGCCATTTGTCGTAGTGCGCCGAGGGCTCCTGGGCAGGGATGCAAAAATGCAGCTGTCTCTCCCACCCCTTCACTGTTGATGCCGCCTTCTTCAGTTCGTCGTAAGTCGTTCGTACCCCTGAAAACTCCGTGTAGCTCACGCGTTATTTCCCAACGTCCTTTTCGCGCGCGTTTAACCAAACGCCGAATGCTCCTCCGAAGTTGTTGGTGCTCCTTGCCTTAAAACCTGAAAGTCTCCACGTAAACACTCCGAAATTGTCGCTCGAGTCAGACCCCGTAAATCCGCAGTTGCAGTTGCAGTTCGCCTCCGAAAATCTCAGACGTGCTATAGCCGCCCACTCGGTCACCATCAGTTTCCGTCGGCTACCCGACCCCAGCATGTGGGTTCAATCGAGAACCGAGGACTGCCTTGGGTTATTCCGAGACCGAATTTCACGGAACCTAGTGGCATCAACGCCCTTGACTTCGTAGTCGAAAACTGCTCCCGTCGATGTCGCTTAACAAAAAATCCTGTTTCTCCCACCAGCGCTTTGCAGATTATTCACCACATCGCTCGGCGCCGGTCGATAGATCCCGAAGCTACGACTGCTCCCACACTCCCCTTTTTTTTTTAAGAATTTCCCGAGGTGTGCGTTTAATCACCTGGGGTCCTAGGTATCCTTGCCGTTGTGTTTCTTGCCAGGCAACTTCGAAAAGTGCCCTTCAGGCGAAGTCCCCCAACGACTCAACCGCATTCCAAGAAGCGAAGAAATACCCGCAGCTTCATAATTTTTTTGTCGTTTCACCCCCCGACAATTCCGCTTCCCGCCGTTCACCCAGCATCCGCATTTTTCAGATGGGGTATAGTCGGTGTTGCCCGCGCGAACCCAGCCACGGTGGAGGGGCAAAAACTATCGGAGTCGGGGACCCTTAATTAAAAGGAACTGTCGCCCAACCGTTTTGCAGCCCACCGCGACCGTCACGACACTAAACTCCACAGTATCCCGGTCCCCGCTTGCCGCTGCGTCGTCACCTCGTGTAGACGCCCGGGTCAGGAGAAACCAGCGAACTGCACCATTGTTGTCATGCGGCACCCCGATTTTTTCGCGTGCTGTTTCACCCAGTCCGCTTTTGTCGGAGTAGAACAGTGCCGCAACTCCACCTCTTTTTTTTTGTTTTTTACTGTATAGCTGTCGAACGAGCACCAATCCAGGTACCTTTAACCAGCACAGGGTAGGCCCGTGTTCACCCCCGTATTCGGCCAAGTAAGTTGACTGCATGAGTCAGAACTAGAAACTTGGTGGGGATGGTGAGGTTCGGGCGACGGAAGGTCACAGTTCGTTCACACCGGATTTTAACCCGCCCTTCACGCCGTTCTGCAACCCCCGCTTAGCCGTCGAGTAGTTTCTTCTCGTGTGTCCCGGCGGCCTGTACCACTCTCCTCCGTAATGTCGGCGTGGTACCTTGAACACCGTTTAATCGTGGGCTGTTGAGGCTGTCCCTGAAAATGACTTCCTTACAGGGAATCCACTCTCGAAATTGCCGGCCAGCAGTCAACAGTACCAGGCACGCAGCGTCATCCGAGTGTTCTTCGGGGTGTATGGGCCCGAATTGCCCTCGCCGCCTGCGTCCCACTCCTCCTGAGTGCGATTTGGCCACTCCGTTTTCTGTTGCAACCCGTAAGTGTCGGCGGGTCTGAAGTTCCCGTCTGTCCACGTGCACTCCTGCCGAAATCTTCGATGACGCGCCCGCCATGCAGTAAAAGCCGCTGCACTTCAGGTCGGGCGGGACGACAGTTGACCCCGCACAATTCGGGCAATTCGCGTGTTGTCTCTCCTCGTCCACCGATATTTTCGGACGCAAAACTCCATTTGCGCCTGGCGAGTTCCCCAGCTGACTTTTTCTCCACAGTTGCTCCGAAATGTCGCCCACAGTGACGCACGTCCGTTGTCGCCAGCTGCCGAAACACATTCCGCGAGTCATGCGCGCAAAATGACGACGAGCCACCGTCGTAAATTGCCACATCAGACGAACTCCGAAATTGTCGCGCAGCTGTTGACCCAGGTCCGACGGCGTCAACTGCCACACACGTTGACGACTCCGCGAATTTCGTGCAGGTGCCGACGCAGGTCCGCTGACGCCAGCTGCCACACAAAACTTCCGAAATCGTCGGTAAATCGCAGCGGAAATTACTCACATAAACGTCGCGACAGCTACAGCTGCCCGTTGCCCGGGGGGAGGGAGGCCACGGTCGATCGCGACCGTTCGAGGCAAGGATCTGGCGGTGCCGATGGAGTACCCGTAAAACCATGGCCGCGAGGAGCAACTAACTCATTCTCCTGGCCGGCCTACGCAACTCCTGGACCCCAAGACATCCTTCCTCGTCCCCCCCCCGAGGGGTATTACACTCTAAAAAGCGGGGTAGGCTAGGAAAGTAGCTCTGATACCAGGTGTTATGAATGAACTTGCAGAGTGCGCAGTAAAACGAATATCGAGAATGATTGAGTACTGAATTACTGAATGACGATACAATGAGAAAGGTACGACTAAATAGGGGAAGTCCTAGCTAGGCGGAGAGGTTGGGCGAGGATGGCTCGGTGATGGTTGCGATTGGAGCGGAGGCGACTCGGGAGTGGTTCGGTGCGACGAAATAGGAAGGACAGGTTCGTCGCGTGACCCTCGGGATGGCCTCGCTAACGAGTGCCTCAGTAAGGATTCTGTAAATCCTTACAGTTCATGTCTAAGAAAACATCATCAGCAGTGTTACTGCATAAAAATGGCATTGGAATTTTAAGTACATATAAGGAGTACAATTAGCCCCAACGCGTACAACACTGTGCACTGCACCGCGACCATTCTCTTCGCGCATTACCAGTCGTCGTTGCTCGTTACACAGCGCCGGCGTGCTATATGTAAAAACGTTCTTGCTGGGGGTCCTACAGCATCACATAGTACAACTCCCACTCTCAGAAAGTGTAGGCTCTGCCTGATATCCTCGACCAAAGACCACTCTGCATGCATCACCATTGGACACATTCCATTCCACCACCCAACCTACTCCCAACCCAACCTCAGAATTCCAAGGTCCCAGCAGGGACTCCCCGCCTAGTTATGGGCTTTGCTATATTTTCCCCAACTTCTATTTTGTCAGTTGACTGAAACACAGCTCCATTGCTGGTTTCGCGTATACGATTTTAAATCTCCCCTTGTGATGCGTGGCAAGAAAGTACCCTCAGATCCTTACTTCCTAATATCATTATGAAACATCATACACTTTCATGTATCACCTGTAGTAACCACTTCAGCACTGGCATGGGAAGCAATAGGTTGGGATTTCTCCATAAATTGTTGAGGAGGAGGCGTCCTGTTCTGGTTTTCTCTGAAATCTGCACACCGCCAAGCATACGCACACACAAGACATAAGTCATGTAGGTTGAGAATACCCCCAACATGTAATGCAATCAAAACACGCTCGTCAATGGAGAGGGCCTCAGCCAGGGCTGTTGAGCCGGCACTCCTGGGAGATGGCGGAGAGCGAACCGCACTGGATAAGGCTAGAGGAATCACAGGGCACTCACCAGCATGTACCCCACAAGACGCAGGACACTCACCGATAGACAGGTCCCAGCCACGACTCTTAAGCTCTCAGTACTCCTGGGAGATCGCACAAATGCACAGCACCAGTGCAGGCTAGACGAATTGGGTTACGAGGCATGCGGCTGTATCAGCCTCAGAGGGGAATCACCAAGCGACAGGTCCCAGCCACTGTTCTTAAGCTCTCAGTACTCCTGGGAGATGGCACAGAGCGCACAGCAGCAGTGCAGGCAAGAAGCAGCATCAGGTCCCCAGGCATGCGGGTGTTTTTGAGAATTCTCAAAAACTCCCTGCAACCTCATACACAGCACTCACCGATTGACAGGTCCCAGCCACGCCTGGTAAGCTCTCGGTACTCCTGGGCGATGGCGCAGAGCGCACAGCAGCAGTGCAGGCTAGGATTATCAGGTGAGGGTCATCAAGCATGTGCCAGTGCCAGCATTAGTATTGCTCGCAGGACACTCACCAACGGACAGGTCCCAGCCGCGCTTGCTGAGCTCTCGGTACTCCTGGGAGATGGCGCAGAGCGCACAGCACCAGTGCACCCATAGGTCCCCCCATGACTTTTCTGAAGTTTTTTTTCATCCCTCAGGCTCTCTAGGTATTTGAGGCGGCTCAGATGCTGTTTCGGCCTCACAGGACACTCACCATTGGATAGGTGCCAGCCGCTCTCGGTACTCATGGGAGATGGCACAGAACGGACAGCACCAGTGCAGGCAGAAATCACCACACCAGGGCAGGCTATAACATCAGGGTCACCACGCGTGTGCGTTTGCATCACCAACACTCACAGGACACTCACCAGTAGAGAGGTCCCAGCCTCGTCTGGTGAGCTCTCGGTATTCCTGGGAGACGGCACAGCACCAGTGCAGCAGCGTAGAGGAATCGGGTTACCAAGAATGTGCGTGTATCAGCCTCACTGACCACTCACCATTAGATAGGTCCCAGCCTCGCCTGGTGAGTTCTCGGTATTCCTGGGAGATGGCACAAAGCGGACAGCACCAGTGCATCCAGAGGTCTCCGCAGGGCTTTTCTGGAAGGTCGTATCTGGCCCTTAGCGTTTCTCGGTACTCTGAGTATGGAGGGAGGGTGGGGGGAACGGAGGGAGGTTGGGAGGGAGCGCGGGATGCAAGTTCTGGATTTTTATGTACCGCAGCAACCACTCTAGCTTCATTGGAATAACTTTCGAGAGTTCTTAAACGTTCTAGCCTTTTAAATTGAGTCAAACGCCACTTAGTCGCCTCAAGAGTAACCTCAAAAGGAAAGAGAGAGTGGGAGAGAAAGCACCTGTGGAAACGATACAGCCGTTGCAGCAGAGGCACTCGATGATGCACCAGAAGGTTTTAAATTTGACTACAAAGGCCCTAGTAAACCTCAAGTCACCTCAAAAAGAAAAAACAGAGAGAGAGGGAGAGAGAGTGGGAGAGATAGTCGGAGAGGGAGTGGGAGAGAGAGTGGGAGAGAGAGTGGGAGAGAGAGTGGGAGAGAGAGTGGGAGAGAGAGTGGGAGAGAGAGTGGGAGAGAGAGTGGGAGAGAGGGGGCACCTGTGGAAACGATGCAGCCGTTGCAGCAGAGGCACTCAGCGATGCACCAGAAGGCGCAGATGTCACTTGCGTCTGCAATTCACAGGGCACAGAGGGGGTCTGAGATTCACAGGGCACAGAGGGGGTCTGAGATTCACAGAACATGAAGCAAGCATATCATGAGTCACTCGAACCGGGTCAAAGGATGATAACGAGTATATATACAGCTAAGGCTTCACTTTTGAGACGTCTCAGAAGTTAACTTCTTTTACTTCTGAGACGTCTCGTCACAGAGGGGTCTGAGATTCGCAGGGCACAGAGGGAGTCTGAGATTCGCAGGGCACAGAGGGGGTCTGAGATTCGCAGGGCACAGAGGGGGTCTGAGATTCACAGAACACGAAGCAAGCGTATCATGAGTCACTCGTGCCGGGTCAAAGGATGATAACGAGTATATATACAGCTAAGGCTTCATTTTTGAGACGTCTCAGAAGTTAACTTCTTTTACAGAGGGGTCTGAGATTCACAGAACACGAAGCATTGTATCACGAGTCACTTGTGCCAGGTCAAAGACACGGATTATAACGAGTATACAGCTAAGGATTCACCGTACGATCCACACAGCAAACTTTTGAATCCTTCAGGATTTTTTTGTTCCTAAATCTCGAAAAACCCTGCATCTGCATCATACCCGTGGCAGGTCAGTGAGAATGATGATAACGAGTACTTGTAATGCGTTACTCCGAGGCCCACGTCATTTTCTGAGCCTTCTGATACGTTTCTAGTGACTGCTACCGGCGCTACCACGAATAGTATCGCGCATTTTCGTCTCACATGGGCCCTTTTCATTTTCGTCTCACATAGGCCATTCTCATTTTCGTCTCACATAGTCCCTTCGCCTTTTCGTCTCACATAATCACTTCTCATCTTCGTCTCACATAATTACTTCTCATTTTCGTCTCACATCGTCCTTTTTTCTTTTCTTTCCGCGATAGAGCATAATAGGTTGAAATAAAGGAAAGAAGACTGAAACGCTGTTTGCCTACCTTGTTTGCCTGCGTCCACGAAGTTAGCGACTCGGCCAACGGCTAGACAGGGACACCAAAGGACGAGACAGCCTGTAACATGGACGCAGGGCGAAGAATAAAAAGGAGATTGATTTTGACGAAAAAAAACATAAACTGCTTCATGTCCTCACGAAAAAACGGAAAAGTTACATGAATTCATATCTTCGAAACAGCCGCACCAGCCAGAGGTCCATTGACCCAACTCAGGGTAATTGCCTTCCGCCATGTCGTCCAAGTGAAAGTCACGCTTCAAGAAGTTATCGAACGTAGCGAACAAACTAAGACTTTTTCCCGAAAATGGTAAGGTGTGCAAATATGGCAGGTGCATGTGGAACTAGGTAGTGCAGGCAGGGTATGAGGTGAGGGGGAGTCGAGTGTGGGGTGATGAGTGGGGGGAGGGCATCGAGTGTGGGTCGACGTGAGGTGTCGCTTCGGGAAGGAATCGCGCCACGGCACAATGGAATCTTGCAAACCGTTGTTGCTTCGGGTTTGGCTTGGTGACGCTTGATAGGCTTAGACAGGTTTGGTTTGGGTATGCTTTGGGTAAACTTCCGGCTTGGGTGTTAACGGGGATTTAATTCTGATACACAAGAGAAACTACTAAACAACAAAAGAATATACGGTAAACCAGTATATTATTATAAAAAATGCTTCTCACATGGTGTTATATTATGCACAATGAGCAGTAAATGCCACTTCATACGCCTGTTCTCCTCGCCGGCCCAGCATCTTTCCGGTCCCAAAGCGTCCTTCCAGAGAGAACGGAGGAGAGGCGCTCAAAGAGAGTCCTGCATGCAACACCAAGGCCCAAGGGAGGCAAAGAAACAATGGTCATCGCAACAATCTAAAAATAGCAATATATATAGATATAGATAGATATTTATATATCCGAGGGGGGAAAGGAGGGGGAGGGAAAGGGGAGATATCACGGGGCAAGGAGAAGCAAATCGACGGAGCGGGAAGGCCGAGGGCAGACAACGATGATCACACGAGTACTCACCATGTGACTGTTTGCTGCACTTGACCAAGTTCACTCAAAAGTCAACCTGATCATCTGATGGTCAACAATCTCAAAAGTCACGTGACCACACGTACACTCACCATGTGAGTGCTTGCTGCATTGATCGCTTCAGCACACGCGGCACCACCCCTCGGAAGAAACCAGGAAGACCCTGCGACTGTGGGTGGGTGGGGGGAAGAGGGAGGAGGAAACAGAGGAGATGGGGGACACGGCGAGGGGGGGGGGAGGGGGGGGGAGTGGGTGGGGGACAGATGGAACAGAGGCAATGGAAGAATCGAATGGATGGGACCAAAAGTGCGAACAAGAAACGACTATTGAGGTGCCGAAATAAACATATAGAAATTTCACCATCCTTGTTTTTACCATCTACCTTGTAGATGGCTGACGTGGCACCGAGCATGGTCAGCGGCTTGCCAGGTGTCGCACGCAGAGAGGCCAGCTGCAGATGGGTTCGCACCTGAAGAGGAAAGACGAAAGCACACATGCAGCTGACATGAAGAGCAGATGGGGATCAGATGACTTTTGAGTCGACTCAAGAGCAGGTGGGGATCAGATGAGCTTAGATGAACCGAATGGGGACATGAAGATAGATCTGGTCTGAGACCTCTCAAAACACAGTCACTCTCATGCAGGTGGGTTCACAACTGAAGTCGAGATGCAAACACACAGGCGAAGAGAACACCAGGTGGGGAGCAAATGAGCACAGATGAACTGAATCCGTTCATTGGAAAAAACAAATGAACTGAATCGTTCACTGGCGAGACCAGAAGAAATAGAGATGCACTGACAAGAAGAGGAGATTGCATGCAAGCTAGGCAGTGTTGTCATCATGCCTACTCACGTGCTCATGCTTTCATCATGTCTTAACTGTACTCAGTGCGTGAAAACGCTCGGAAAAATGTGAGTGAAGATTTCACTCGCAAATGCTCAATGTGCAAAGCTCAGTGAACAACACTCACCACGCAGGCGGGTGGGTCAGAATGGTTGCGAGGGTCCCCGCTGCTGCTCCTGTGAATGGTTGCAGTCAATGTAGGGATACCTAACTCACAACTGCTCAATCAGCAAAGCTCAGTGACTAATGCGCACCACATCAGGTGGGTGGTTCAGAATTGTTGCAAGAGCAGCTTTTGAGTGGACCCAAAAGTCACCCCAATGCTCACTGCTCAGTGCTCACCACATCAGGTGGGTGGGTCAGAATGGTTGGGAGAGCGGCTTTTTGGTGAGCTCAAAACGCGCCTCGTTTCGAGTGAACTCAAAACTCACACCTCAGTGCTCAATGCTTGTTGCTCACCACATCAGGTGGGTGGGTCAGAATGGTTGCAAGAGCCCCCGCTGCTGCTCCTGTGATTCGCTCAAGGGAAAGCAGGGAGGGGGTACGGAGGCAGGGAAGGAGGCAGGTAGGTTTCGGATCAGACCTGCTTGAAATGTGACAACAGGGTGTTGTGTTGACACATGGGACAACCAGGCAGGAGGAACAAAGGGTCTGTGGAAGAAGTTTACCTACGTTGATTGAACTTTTGAGAATTCTCAAAAGTTCAATCAACGTACTTGGAATGTGGCACCAGGGTGTTGTGTTGACACATGGGACAACCAGGCAAGAGAAATAAGGGTCTGCGGAAGAAATAGGTGGAACAAGTAGATGTCTCGAAAGGTCAACACAGGCACATGCAGACCAAGAAGAGGGGGGGCAGACCAGCATAGAAATAGGTAGAATGTGCCCCACCCCACACACCTGCTGCCATAGTGGACACTGTGCGCGTTGCATGGCCATCATCGGTTGAGATGCGATCTGTTTCTCGGAGGAAAAATTATGGGCGATGGAGAAGGGCAGTGCAAAATGGGGGTGGAGGATGGAGGATGGAGGAGAGAATAGAGGCGAGCACATGCATTATCATGGATGAGGGAGCGAGAGAGCGCATGTGCGTACAGAGAAGGACAGGTACCATGTGGCCCAGGAGGCACATAGAAAGTTGACTTTTGAGTCGACTAAAAAGAGAAGGGCAGGTACCATGTGGCCCAGGAGGCACATAGAGAGTTGACTTTTGAGTCGACTAAAAAGAGAAGGGCAGGTACCATGTGGCCTAGGAGGCACATAGAGAGTTGACTTTTGAGTTGACTAAAAAGAGAAGGGCAGGTACCATGTGGCCTAGGAGGCACATAGAGATTTGACTTTTGAGTCGACTAAAAAGAGAAGGGCAGGTACCATGTGGCCTAGGAGGCACATAGAGAGTTGACTTTTGAGTCGACTAAAAAGAGAAGGGCAGGTACCATGTGGCCTAGGAGGCACATAGAGAGTTGACTTTTGAGTCGACTAAAAAGAGAAGGGCAGGTACCATGTGGCCTAGGAGGCACATAGAGAGTTGACTTTTGACTCGACTAAAAAGAGAAGGGCAGGTACCATGTGGCCCAGGAGGCACATAGAGAGTTGACTTTTGAGTCGACTAAAAAGAGAAGGGCAGGTACCATGTGGCCTAGGAGGCACATAGAGAGTTGACTTTTGAGTCGACTAAAAAGAGAACGGCAGGTACCATGTGGCCCAGGAGGAACATAGAGAGTTGACTTTTGAGTCGACTAAAAAGAGAAGGGCAGGTACCATGTGGCCCAGGAGGCACATAGAGAGTTGACTTTTGAGTCGACTAAAAAGAGAAGGGCAGGTACCATGTGGCCCAGGAGGCACATAGAGAGTTGACTTTTGAGTCGACTAAAAAGAGAAGGGCAGGTACCATGTGGCCTAGGAGGCACATAGAGAGTTGACTTTTGAGTTGACTAAAAAGAGAAGGGCAGGTACCATGTGGCCTAGGAGGCACATAGAGATTTGACTTTTGAGTCGACTAAAAAGAGAAGGGCAGGTACCATGTGGCCTAGGAGGCACATAGAGAGTTGACTTTTGAGTCGACTAAAAAGAGAAGGGCAGGTACCATGTGGCCTAGGAGGCACATAGAGAGTTGACTTTTGAGTCGACTAAAAAGAGAAGGGCAGGTACCATGTGGCCTAGGAGGCACATAGAGAGTTGACTTTTGACTCGACTAAAAAGAGAAGGGCAGGTACCATGTGGCCCAGGAGGCACATAGAGAGTTGACTTTTGAGTCGACTAAAAAGAGAAGGGCAGGTACCATGTGGCCCAGGAGGCACATAGAGAGTTGACTTTTGAGTCGACTAAAAAGAGAAGGGCAGGTACCATGTGGCCTAGGAGGCACATAGAGAGTTGACTTTTGAGTCGACTAAAAAGAGAAGGGCAGGTACCATGTGGCCCAGAAGGCACATAGAGAGTTGACTTTTGAGTCGACTAAAAAGAGAAGGGCAGGTACCATGTGGCCCAGGAGGCACATAGAGAGTTGACTTTTGAGTCGACTAAAAAGAGAAGGGCAGGTACCATGTGGCCTAGGAGGCACATAGAGAGTTGACTTTTGAGTCGACTAAAAAGAGAAGGGCAGGTACCATGTGGCCCAGGAGGCACATAGAGAGTTGACTTTTGAGTCGACTAAAAAGAGAAGGGCAGGTACCATGCACCCCAGGGGCTACGTTGGCAGATACGCGTCCCAGGGTATAATACGCTAGCGTATTATACACTGGTATATACGCGGTATGTCAGGGCTGGCGTACTGGTGATACGCAAAAATACGCTGGGCAGGCAGGTAAAACCTGTTTGAGGGGGGGGGATTGTTTTCCAAGAACACAAGTCATAATTTAAATTTCATAAATATCCAGAAATACATATTTGGGGCTACTTCTCCCCATACATCCCCACCCCACCCCACCCTCTAGCTAGCTTCCCCACAACCGATTTCCTTGCGGGGCCTTTCCACCACCACACCTTCTCCATACTCATCCGCCAGCACTGCATCCTCTCCTTCTTCCCCCAGCATGTCATCCTCCTCCTCATCCATGTTATAGCCGGGGGGGATAGGAACATCCGGGATGTTACCGGACACAACCGTGCTGCCCCATCCTTCTTGCACCAATTGCGCACAACGTTCTAGTTTTGCGCAATGTAGACGAGGTCCGCACACTTGGCGGACCCGAGCCGGTTGTGGCGGGTGGTGTGGACGCCTTCCCACTGCGCCCAGCCACGCTCGCATGGGGAAGCCGAGACGGGCTGAGTGAGCACCGGGCATGCGAGGGCGGCAAGCTCAGGATACTCGGTGCTGTGCCACGACCACCACTGCACCATGCTCATCTCCCCCTTCTTCACTGCCTCCCTTGCAGAAATAGCGCCCGGCTTGCCAAAGCTGCCCTCCATGTTGATGTAGGCCAGCAATGCCTCCTGCAACACAAGGGAGGCGCGGCGAGGGGCGGCATCCTTGCCACGCTTGAAAGTCTTGTTGTCATAGTGGCGCTCGATGTAGTCCTTGAACACCCGCGTGCACTCCACATCGTTCCTGAAAATTCTCTCCTCCTGGTTGGCCGGATTCAGGATCCGGCCAACCACATGCATGGGGCAGGCAAGGGAGTTGTCCCACCTGTCCTTCACAATCTTGGTAATGTCTGCCCTCTCTGTCCGAGTCAATAAGTCACTTGAAGCGTCGAGCTTGTCATTGATGTCCTCGGTAAGCTGTAGCATGATGTCATACAGCTTACCCATTATGCCTTTCGCGAAAGAGTCCGTGGCCCGCATGGCCTTGAATGGCACCGCCATGAGAGAGGTAAAGAACTCCGCCACCCCCCACCACTCCTCATCCATCACAGCAGCCCTGAATTTCTCAGCTGCTGTCTTCCTATCCTTGTCCGCCGCTGCCCACACCTTCCACTCGTTGCTGAGCACCATCGCCGCCAGCCCACTCCTCACCTCACATAGCCGGGCCATGGCTATGTATTGTGTCCCGAACCTGGTTCCCGCAGGCTTGAGCACCTGCTTCCCCCCCACTTTCTTCATATAGGCACGGGTAAAGTGGTGGTTGCGCACGAAGGTAATCATCTCCCCTCTTTTCTCCACAAGCCTCTTCCCCCATCCCATTTTGCCCATATCTTCCATCATCAGGTCCAGGACATGCGTGGCACATGGCACATGCTCAATGTGCGGCCATGTGCTCGCAATCCTCTTGGCGGCCGATGCATAGTTGCTGCCGCCATCGGTGCAGACCGCCACCACATTCTCCGGCCCCACCTTATCAATGACGGGGCGGAGAAGGCTGGCGATGTACCCCCCGGACTTCGACTCCATGTTGCAGTCCACCGCCTGCTCGAAAACTGCGCCGGAGTCGTTGACAAGGAGTATGTTGGCCTGCGGGCGGCCACAACGGTCGGTCATCATGTCCGACGACACCGTTACCCCGTCCCGCTTCTAGCTCGCGGCAACGGGGGCGAACGCGACCTCCATTTTCTGCCGCACCTTCTTCAAGCCTGCCCCTCCAATGTAGCGCCTCTTAGGAGGGACGTACCCAGGTCCAGCGCGCGCAATGCACTGGACCGCGTAGCGAAAGACCGGATCGTCCGCAATGCGCTCCGGAAGTTTCAGCGCCGCGAACAGAAGGCAAAACACGTTATCCGCGTCCTCCTTGGCGCACGTCGCCTCATTGCCAAAGAAATCCGTAATTTTGCTATTTTTCTTCGGGTTTCCACTGACAGCGTCAAGCGCAGAGTGAATTGCAGCAGCGGCCGCCCCTTGCTTCAAGTCCTGCTGTTCCGCCTTGGTCTCGTACATGCCACGGACTTGATCGCGGACTGCCGTGGGCGCGTCCTTGCATTACGCCACAGCGCGCTTCTCCTGCCCTTTCCATGTCGCGAGATGGATTGCACAGCGGTTTGTTCCGCCCTCGAACTTCTTGCCACATGACTTGCACAGCTTGGGGTTGCCTTTGGTGTGAAACGGAATGAGGAAATGTTTCAGAATGGGGTGAGATAGTCCAGCCTCGACAGGATCCGTGTTGACGGTAGTAGAGCCATGAACAGAGGCTGGATTGTTGTTCGTCGAAGTACTAGGAGCTGAGCCCGACGTCATGGCGCACTACGTAAGTCTAACTAACGAAGAAGAGTGGAGAAATGCGGGAAGGAAATGGAAGAGCATTTGCGCAACGTTGACCTATACGTGCAAACGATGGAAGAACATTTGAAGGGGGTGGTTGAGATTGAGAGGTTGGGTGGGGTGATGTGTGGTTGAGGGGGTGGGAAAGTTTGGATTTTGAAATTCGAAGTTCAGAAGTGGGGTTGGGCACATGAGTGAAGTCGCGGTAACACTTCGCGACTTCGCACATCGTCGCGAAGTTTTTCAATTTCGGATTTTTTTTTTTCGCCGGGCTGCCCGGCCGTATTTTCGCGAATTCAGAGCGTATCAGCGTATCACGCATATGCGCTAGCGAATATACGTGATACGCCAGCCTTTCAAGAGAGAATCTGCCAACATAGCCCAGGGGGCACATAAAACCAGCACATCCATACATCACCCTAACCCAGAGCACATACATACATTACCCTACCCTAGTCACATACATTACCATGAACAGGGGGGCGCATGCGGGAATAGAGAGCCCAAGATAGATACGGAGTATGGTGCAACTCTCACATACTTACATCACCATGCATGCAGGCTACTTTTGAGACATCTCAAAAATACCCTTTATACACGTGGCCTCTTACACACTTACATCACCATGCATACAGGCCGCGACATACAGACATTACCCTCCCCGAGGGCACATAAATTACCGTGAATGAGGGAGCGCATGCGGGAATAGAGTACGAGGTAGATTCCTGAGTACGGTGCATCTCTTAGCAGGGTGCTCCCCAATCCTCGATATAAACCTGTAAACATCCAATAACGACCACGCGTACACAATATACATGTCGAAAATGCACAATCGGTGTCTTTTCGTGACCATCAAGAATTGTACCGCAAAACAAAACAAAACATAACAGTACTAGCAGAAAGGTAAGCTATTACTGCAACAAAGTGCACGATAAATTGCCTTTACCTGCAATTCCTTCTGACCTGGCAATCGACATTAATCCTCCAAGCGTTCCTCTATAGGACTCTCCGCTCACTGCAGAAAACTGCACTGTAGAAAGGGGGACAGAAGAATTACACACACAAAGCAAGAGCAGACTGAAGATTGATCACCCCAGGTATCCCATTGTAAGGCTTTCCAATAGCAGCATAAAACTTCACTGCACTGTAGAAAGAGTGTTGCGTGAAAAAAGGTAATGCAAAAAGAATAGGATAGATTGTATTGCTGCCCAGGACACAGCTGAAAACAGGAAAGTGAGAAAAGAAAACGTGAAATCACCCACACACTGCTGCACTGGGAACCAGAACAGCCAGGTGGAAACAGATACGGGGAACAGCGCAGCAGCCGACAGCGATCGCGAAACCACGATGCTGCAGGTGTTGGTGTTACCACTAGGATGTAACACAAGAGCTCTCACTCACTTCCCCCCTTTTCCCACCCCCTTTACCCTTCCCCCCCCGTTCCCCCTTCACCTCCATGCATGTCGTCACCACGGACACAGGGCACAGCAGCAGCAGCAGCAGCAGCAGCAGCAGCAGCAGCAGCAGCAGCAGCCAGCGCGTGTTTCAACGTCAGCGTGCTCGCCAACAAGAGCACTAGCTCCTCTCTTCCATCCCCCCTCCCCCACCTCCCACTAACCTCCATGCGTGTCTTCACCACGGAAACGGGGCACAGCGCAGCAGCCGCCAGCGAAAGCAAGAGCATCATAACGCGAATGTTGGTGTTACCGATTGAATGCAACAAGAGCGCTCACCTACCCCATTCGCTGTTCCCCCATTCACCTCCCACTAACCTCCATGCGTGTCTTCACCACGGACACAGGGCACAGCGCAGCCGCCGCCAGCGATCGCGAAACCACCGCCGCCATGAACGTAACCCGCGACGAGAACTGCGGAGCACCCGCACCCGCACCTGAAACCCCACCCTTCCGACAATCCCCACCCAGCGCCGCACCCTCCTCTTCCCCCACCCCGCGTTCCTCCCTCCCCTTCTGCCGCCTCCGCCTCCGGTTTTCCTCCACGGTATTCTCTAGGGCGGCGAGAGCGTGCATGGCCGGATCCAACGTGGCAAAGAAAAGCCCGAGGCCCAGCCCGAGTCGCACGCACGTGGGTCCCGTGCCGCGCCACAGCCCTCTCACGCCCTCCTTCTGGAGAATCATCCGAACCACGTGGCTCATGCTCGGCTGTAACGGCGGCGCGGTTGCCGCTGCGGCTAGGGCTTTCCTAGTGGCGGCGGTCGCGGCGGTGGTGGCGGCAGTGGCGGCTGTAGTGGCGGCGGTGGTGCTTGCCGAGGTTGTGGCGGGGTTTGTAGCAGCGGCTGTAGCTGCGGTTGTCGCGGCGCTTGCAGTGAGCCCTATAACAGCGTCTACCGCTGCCGATCTTAGCGATCGAGATCCCACGTCTTTCGCTGCGGATGCTACTGATGATGATGCCATCTTTCCAACGGACGGTGACGATGATCCCTGCAGATGCGTGCGGATCACATCGAACGGCTGCAGAAGAACGCCTGTGATAAGCCCTGTCGTCGCTCCCCATAGAAAATTCCCGCCGATTCTTCGTGTTTTTCCGGATCCTGACACTCCCGAGTCATGATTCTTTAAGGAAGCAGGACTGCTATTGCCTGATGTTGCCGTCGAGTCGCTAACTGAGCTATCGCCTGCTGCTGCAGACGAAGTCATGGCCGGACTGGAAGAATCCCTAGACAACCGACCCGCAAAAGAAAAATATTCGCCAAAAAAAAAACTATTGTTATTCGAAGAAACTGTCACTAATGCAGATGGAAGAAACGACACTACCAAAGGTATCTGAAGCGCTTAAAGTTGATCGCAATACACACTCGCGAAACAAGGCAGGTGCAGCCGCGAGCCACAGGCAAGCGGCGAGTGGAGGGCTGACAAGGGATATAGCAGGCCCGCAAACAACGGCTAGTGGAAGCAGGGGTGGACTAATATGGTTCATCCGAGCCTTGGTGGGCGCAAACCCACCAGGTGCCTCTCCCCACCAGGATGCGCGAGCTGGCGGAAGCTTTCTGCCCGGGGCAAAAAAAACTATTCCCCATCGCGACCAGCATGCCGTTCGGGAGCCTCAACCCTAAAATTTTAGGGTTGATGCCTCCCGAACCGCATGCCTTTCGAGGGGGCTTTAGTTTTTTCTTGCCCGCGGGCAGCCCGCTTCCGCGAGCACGCGGAGGCCTTGTGGTAATGTGATCTCCTGACATGACAACCTTGAGGGTGCAGATGCGCATTTATTTCTATTGGTCGGGTAAAGATTCTTCAATGACACACCAGTTTGCGATGTTGATTTCCTTCGCAAGAGTTACCATTTCTTCGTAGAAGCATTTACTGGTTCATCAAATCCTTCCGCCCACATCAATTTGGGTAGAAACTTGAAAGGCCCTTTCCCTTAGATATTTGCATTTCCGAGGAGCTTGGAGTGGTGTTTCTGTGCCTGGGGCTTGGGATCGGTCAATCGGACGGTTCTGGTGGATGCGACGTGCGTGAATGACCTTGAACCAAAGCGCATCATGAGGCGACACTCGTCAGATTGGTAACGCTGGATTCGCATAACTCGTCAAGCTCTCGATTCTCAAGCTAGAATCAATGAAACCGCAAGGGCGTATTTGCTGAAACTCTGCTTTTCATTTCCGTCCCTTGCTTTGCTGGTCAGTAGCAACTGCCCACCTACACCTGGTGGCGTCAAGTTGTGCTTCGGACCCATTCATGATGTACGGTTCAGCTAGTTTCCTCGCGTTTCATCACGGTTTTCATGGCTCATCACGGTTCTTGGGGGTTCCTTCCAGAACGCAAAACAACAAATCAAACCTGTGTGCAGCTTACGCAAAACAACAAATCAGTCCTGCGTACGGTCTAGACCTTCGAGAACATCCCTCCCACCCAATTCCCAACGTCACTCATTGTCTCTCCTCTCTCGTCATCCTCCCACCATTCATCATCCTTTTTATCAATTGTCTTGATTGGGTGTTTTTCCAAGGGGAAAGATCATACAAGGGCCGAACAGTGCCAAGGAGGTGTTCGAACAAGGGCCGAGAGGCCCGAAACTAACCAAACCACTGCTCTACAAGGCATTTGCAGAGAGATATCATTTGATGAACGAATATTTGTTAAAAGTTTGCTTTTTTTCTCGCGCGTCATTTTTCATGAAAATGCTTACTGATTCATCACCTTCCACCCAATAGCGTCGTTTAGCAAGCCAGAAACACTTAGGGTAGTAAAATAAACTAAAACCCCAAGGGGAACCTGTATGCATTTTCGGGATGGATCAACCCTAAAAACGGGAACCTTCGTTGTGTTCAGGGTTGATGCCTCCCTAGTCGCATCCATTTCAAATGGGTATTTTTTTTTTTTCTGCGCGTTTCCGATCAGGGAGTGATATTTATCACCCATAATGAATTTGTTTTTGGACTCACAAATTAACACAGAAGAACGCGATGTGCGCGTAGTAGTAGACGGCGGTCGTAACCATTGTTTTAATAAGCTGGTCACAAATTTTGGTGCTGGTAAAATTTCTCTTTAAGTCACGGCTCGGCTTGTTCGCCTAGCCTCTTGGGCAGCTATGGGTCGAAAATCCTACGGTCGAGATTTTCTGGCCCTACTTCGGTCATTCCTCTGGCACTCTTCGGCCCCAGTTTGATCATTTCCCTTTGTCCAAGCAGCTCGTCCCTACCACTCCCATCCCAACCCAAACCAACTAGACTGGACTGGACACCCTCCCATCACTGCTTGCCACCTCCTAAAATATTTGCCACATCCCAAAATATCGACTACATTATCTCTTGATCGAGTGCGACGGCATTTACGTTTCCAGGCGTCGATTTGAACTTGCTCCCCTGACGTGATCGCTGTGTCAGTCCTAACTTATAGACATTTCCCTGTTCTGTTTGGTCATGACTCATCAAATCGCCTGCTAAGCTCAAGCTGTTTCATATGGACGTACAAAGGTATGTAACTCTTACCCGCGATAAAAAAAAAAACACTTATCTCGCGCTTTGTTGCGACGATTTATCTTCCTAGGATACCCCTTGTGCTCATAATGAATAACGGCGATGAACAAAAACTAGAACTATGCTGCATTGTCGCCTTTTTTATTTAGTTACATCTATTTATGTGTTTATTGAGCGCTTAGCTTGTTTTCGTGCCGTGAAGTGTGCTGGAGACAGAAATTGAAGCGAACACCAACAAGGCCTAATGCAAGCCACCGACGAATGTTATTGTTACCATTGCAATGCAGTAATGCCAAGTTAGTTTGTGAAGAAAGAATGAAACGAATTAAAACGAAAAAAATTGTATTTTGTAGGGAGTGAAAGTCTCATGTCAATCGGCGCTCTTCGTTTGCTGCTGCTGGTTGCACAAACGTTACATCTTTCTCTTCTTGAGCCGACTAAAAACTCGACGAGAATTTTGAGTCGACTAAAAAATGACGACATCTCTCCCTTCTATTCAACAAGTTCTCCGCAAATCATTTACACTATCTTTTGTTCTTCTGCCCAGATCTCGCGAGAGATTCGCGCGGCTGTTGGCGGGGGACGCGGATGGCGCGCAGCAGCTCGGCGCGCAGCAGCAGGGGGGGGGTGGGGAGTCGTCCAGGGACGGCAATGACAGCACGGATCCGCTTCTGCTGTCTATCCTGACGTGGCACCAGGACATCACGTACGCGGTAAGAACAGGGCGGAAAGTCGAGCTGAGCTTCGAAGATCCGTTTATTCTCTTCCGAGACTGGCATTCATTATCGTCACAGCAGATGAAAAAAAAACTTGTTCCAAATACTACTCATCGGCTTTTCACTGAAAGTCCACCGATCCAATCTGTTCTTCCCCCTTCCCTCCCTCTCTCCCATTTCGTCTTCCCTTAAGTCTCTCCCATCCCTGTCCTCATTCGGCCGTGCAGTTGCATCATCCTCCCATTTCTCCCTTTCCCTTTCTCCCTAAAAAGATTGCTGCAAGACTCCCTTCCTCCCCCCTCAACCCCCCCTCCCCTCCCTTCTCATCCTTCCCTTCTCATCCTTCTCCTCCTCCACTCCCCCCCTTCCACCTCCCTCTCCCCCTCTTCCCCCAGCTCTGCACGTACACAGACGAGCTCTGCCAGCAGCATAGGAATGCCGAGGCTGGGAACGCTGCGGCTGGGAGTGCCGAGGCTGGGAATGCCGAGGCTGGGAGTGCCGAAGCTGGGAACACGGAGGAAGCAGGGGCGACAGACAAAGCAGCAGCGGTGACAGAAGAGGGCGGAGGCGAAGCGGACCGCCAGGGTTCGATTCCTGCCGTCGTCAAAGCAGCAGTTTTGGCGGAACTACAGAGTAACGGGTATCTCAAGGCATTCCAGGCGCTTATATCCGAGGGTCAAGGTCTGGTTGAGCAGGCGCGGGGGAACTTGGGGGAGCGGGCGGAGGGGGAAGGATCGGGGGAGGGGGAAGGAACGGGGGCGGGGGAGAAGCGAGGGAAGTTGATAGCGGAGGGGGGCTGGCGGGGGGAGTTGGCGCTTCCGCTGCTGGATATGTTCGGAACGGTGCATAGGCTGAAAGGGAGGGTGGCGGAGTGGGTGGGGGGGTGCGAGCGGGCGGGGGAAAGCGGGAAGGGAAGCGGGGAAGCGAGCGGGAAGGCATCGGGGGAGGCGAGTGAGGGGGCGGGGGAGGCGGAGGGGGAGGGGGAGCGGGCGTGGGAGCAGTTGGAGGAGGAGGTAGCAGCGGCAGCCATGGCCGCATTGCAGGCGGGCAGGGATGAGATTATGGCTGAGGTCAGAGCCGTGGCGGCGGAATGCACTCAACTGCAGGGTGAAGCGGGCGGGTGAGTGGCTGAGGGATTGGGGGTTGAGAGATTGGGTGGGTGGGGGAAGAGTGGCGGGCGGGTGAGTTAGAGCCGTGGCAGCGCTGCAGGCGGGCAGGGATGAGATCATGGGGAGGTCAGAGCCGTGGCGGCCGAATGCACACAGCTGCAGGGCGAGGCGGTCGGGTGAGTATGCTTTGCCCTTGTGACTGGTGTCTAGGCATCAATAGGGCGCTCTGAGCGATGGCCGCGCTGCAGGCTGGGAGAGACGAGATAATGGCGGAGACCAGGGCCATAGCGGCGGAATGCACTCAGCTGCAAGCTATGGCGTGCGGTTGATTGATGGGGGAGGGGAGGAGGGGGGGTTAGCGGGCAGGTGCGTGTGGTTTGGCTTTGAAGCGGGTGAGTTTAGGCTGCGGAGGGATAAACGGCTGCGGAGGGATAAACGGTTGTTTGGTTTGGCGGTCAGAGCGATGGCAGCGCTGCAAGCGGGCAGGGATGAGATGAGATAATGGCGGAAATCCGAGCCGTCACCCGTGGCGGCGGAATGCACTCAGCTGCGAGCTGTGGCGGGCGGGTGAGTGGTACAGCAGCAAGGCAGACACGGGGAGCGCCAAGTGTCTCCACCTCTCCGTCTGCCCACTCTCCTTCCCGTCCCATCCCATCCCATCTCATCCCATCCCATCCCATCCCATCCCATCCCATCCCATCCCATCCCATCCCATCCCATCCCATCCCATCCCATCCCATCCCATCCCATCCCATCCCATCCCATCCCATCCCTTCCCATCCCATCCCATCCCTTCCCATCCCATCTCATCCCATCCCATCCCATCCCATCCCATCCCATCCCATCCCATCCCATCCCATCCCATCCCATCCCATCCCATCCCATCCCATCCCATCCCATCCCATCCCATCCCATCCCATCCCACCATCCCATCCCATCCCATCCCATCCCATCCCATCCCATCCCATCCCATCCCATCCCATCCCATCCCATCCCATCCCATCCCATCCCACCATCCCATCCCATCCCATCCCA